TAAAAAAAAAAAAAATTAGCCCTTGACAAAAAGAAGCTATATGCATAAAGATTAACATATATAAAAAGACCAAAATATTCAGGACATTCCTTTCTTCCTTAATCTACTCACGTCTAAATTCTTTATTTCAGTGCAAGCATTAATAACTTATTTTATTCAAAGACCCAACAATTCATTACCAATAAGTTTGATGTCAGTGTTTTTCACCAACCACTCTGCCCCATCTTTCTGGAAACCAGTGTAGCTCGAGTCGAATTCTTCTTGATACATAAGATACCTGAAAATGAAATCACTTTAGTTCAACTGGATGTCCTCATATTGCAGATGGAATAATGCCCGAGCAGATATTTCAGCACTTTCGGCAGATCACAGAGGAAACATTGAGAAAATAACTAAGTTTAATCAAGTTTAAAATTTTATACTCAAATCCCACTTTGCTGAAATCTAATGATCCCCCTCAATAGGCACAGCAGATGAATTCAGGAGTCCAAAAAGAGCAATGGCCTTGCAACAATTTACACCTTACGGAGGTTGTGTAGTGAGTTGCAAATAGAACAGAAGACGAATATCACTTTTTACGAGTATTTGTAATATGTAAAACACAAAGATAGAATTATCTCATTTTGTGTTTATTCACTGATCATATGTAGTTTAAAAACCAAAGTTTGACCAATCTCAAAACACTGAGGATAAACATTTTGATGTAAATTTTACCTTTCAGTATTCAGTGTCCTGAAAAGTACACGCTTTACTCCTTTGGAAATGTTTAAACTCTGCATAACTTCAGCTAAAAGAAGCAAGGAAGCATAATTTAAGTGCTATAAGAAATGAAATATTGTTAGATGCTAAAAACAAATGATACAGCAATCTGTGAAAGTCGCACTTTCAAGCTGTTTCTGACAAAATTTTCATATTTGTGGTTAAAGCCAAAAACAAAAGGAAGATCAATGCTATTATGTGAGTTTCCATATGCAGTTATTATGTGAATTTCCATACTCGAAATGGACCACATTTAAATTAAAATGTGACTAATCCAACTCAGACATTCTAAGATGACGATAAGCATCTTTAAGCTGCAGAGGATTCAACTGCTCATTAAGGCTGGGACAGTGCCAAGCTCAATTCTGCAAACCAGATGGGTGCAATATCGTGACACATGTCTCAATCCCAGTAACCGGGAGGAGCGATGAGCCAATTTTGAGAATGGGCTTCTATATAAAGTCATATTACAGATGACAGTTTTTGTTGCATAAATACCTAGTGTTGGTTACTAATAGCTGATTCAATTATACAGTGTTAAAAATATCTATGCTCATTCACATAATTTCTATCTTTTTCTCACATCCTGTGCACTAACAAGTAATACCATAGTGTTAAGGTATTATATCCCACATCGAATGATGATGGAAATAAATACCAATTTATAAAGGATTGGACTTCTCCACTTAAGAAGGTTGACCTTATTAAAATAGACCCCAAACTTTAAAATGGTATCAGAGCCAACCCATGAATTTCAAGATTGATGTGATCAAGTGAGCCACCATCTTGAGAGGGCCTGTTAAAGTATTATATCCCATATCGAATGATGATGGAAATAAATACCAATTTATAAAGGATTGGACTTCTCCACTTAAGAAAGTTGACCTTATTAAGATGGACCCCAAACTTTAAAATGGTATCAGAGCCAACCCATGAATTTCAAGATTGATGTGATCAAGTGAGCCACCATCTTGAGAGGGCCTGTTAAAGTATTATATCCCATATCGAATGATGATGGAAATAAATACCAATTTATAAAGGATTGGACTTCTCCACTTAAGAAGGTTGACCTTATTAAAATAGACCCCAAACTTTAAAATGGTATCAGAGTCAACCCATGAATTTCAAGATTGGTGTGATCAAGTGAGCCACCATCTTGAGAGGGCCTGTTAAAGTATTATATCCCATATCGAATGATGATGGAAATAAATACCAATTTATAAAGGATTGGACTTCTCCACTTAAGAAGGTTGACCTTATTAAGATGGACTCAAATTTTAAAACGTAGCAACATTCAAGGTAACTGTTAATTATTTTCTCTTTTTTTCCTATCAAAATTTCATTTCTTTAGATTGCAAGCATTCAATTATTATATTTTGCTGTTCAATAATGATTAGAAATTCTAAAATTTGGTATTTAAACCTTTCTGAATCGGAAAAAGAAGAACAAGTGAAAAAAATACCAGTTATGTTCTTGTCCTTTGGAACTTCCACCACCAACACTGGACCTGTACCCCGCAAAAACTTCATGAATAAGCAGATATATTCTTGAATTATGAAAATTCCTTTGATCTTCAACTAGACAACAACTCTAAAAATTCCATGATTCAATGAAATCATTACCGTTGAGAATGGTGAGATCTAAGGATTCGACATCGGTGAAGGCTTTGACGTGAGTCCCGCAATCCGTACTCAGATTAAATGTGTGGGTGTTGAACTCATAGCCCATTACACCAATAACAGTGCTAATCCTCATGAACTCTCCCAGACCTGAAGGCGAATCATATTTGGGCAAGCCAGGAACGTACTGGTGAGAGATGTCAATGAACTCGGCGTTAACTAAAACGTCGGAGAACTCCAGAAACATAAGCCACATCACGGCGGCGAAGGAGCAAGAATATATCCTCATTTTCCTGGGGTCTGACGTCTGAGAGTTGGCGGTGATTCCACCAACGAAAATTGCAAATGAAAGGAAAGGAAAGGACACTGGGGAAAATGAGGAATTGGAGAATGGGGGAAAACAGGATGGAAAATGGAAGTAAAAAAGGAAAAGGGGAGGATGAGGTCTATTCCGGCAAAGCCGGAGCTTTAATACTCGTGGTACACACACCCCTCCGGCGGGAAAGATGCTATGCCGTTTATTTTCCCGGGAAAGAGAAGAGGAGAGAGAGTGGAAAATTAATTCTTCTTTTTTTCTTTTCTTTTCTTTTTTTCTTTTTTTACCGTATTTAAGTTAATTTACAACCCAATAAATACGGTCCTCAGCCTTTGAACTATGTAATGTTGGGGTTTCAATCCTATTATTCACGGCAGATCAAGTCCCTAACTATTAAAAACATCCGACTGGCATCCTTTTTGGATGGAAAAATAAAATGTAGCTAATCAATATTTCAATCGCGCAAATGTTTAATTGTATATAAATAAAGCATCGATAGAGATTAACTTGCTAGCATGATTGAAACGTCTATATTTTACTTCATAGACTTAAATATATAAAATTAAACAAGAGCTTTGCGAATCTTGATGATCGCTTTTTATGTCAAATTGTGTATATCGTGTCGTTGCAAGTTGTCTTGCAAAATGATGATATTTTCGTAGATGAAATTACAATGGGAAATGGTTGGTTCCAAAAATTGTGAAAGGTGGATAATTTTGATCAATATATGTGTAGGTTTGATGTGAAAAGCATAATGATGATATGTGATATGACGATTAATTTATCCGAGCATGATGTACAATTGCGAATTAATTTACATTTATTTATTTTCTCTTTTTCTATCATTTATATATAGGGCCCGTTTGGTAGGAATTTTGAGAATTGATTTTTTGACCGTTAGAAGAAAAGTGGGGTCCACGTGTGAGAGAAGAAGTCAAAAATTACGGTTTGAATAGTAAAATAACGGTCAAAAAATCAATTTTTTGGGACAAAAAATCCCTACCAAACAGGGCCATAATATATTCTAGTTGAATTAGTCCGTTGAAAAAATCAGCTTTAGTTAGTAGGATAGGTTTATAACACATTTTTCTATTATTTATTAGTAGGGATATTGGTATTCCCTTTTTACTATTTAAGATCGGTAACAAAATGCAGAGCCCATATCAGAATTCAAGAAAAGTTCGTGTAAATTCTTCTACGTCTATGAAAAATGATTTCTATGTAAATTTCATAGCGGTAATTGATCTTTCGGCAAAAATTGAACTAGATTATTAAACTTTAATTTGTTTCGTCTAAGTCATTCAACTTCAATTCAGTTCCAACATAGTCACTAAAATTTAATTCAATATCAAATCTCGCCATTCCGTGGTCTCCCAAATTGATGAGAATCTCTTAATTGATAGGCGTAACTACAAATTTTCCACATAATGACTACGTGTCATGATAACTCCCACTATGCAACGTTATAAAAGTTTTCTAAAAATAAATCCATTTTGATCTTGTTAAGGAAGTAAATCATCTGGGCAAGAGTATATTAGAATTTCTCATGTTCCCATTCTTGTACCAAAGTTACCATACATATACTCTTGTTGTTCTTATATAATGGCATTAGAGAAGAGGAAGAGATTTATCTTCTTCCCTTCAAAGTTTATACCAAACTTATTTCTCAACAGCAATAATTCTAGGGTTTGTTATATTCTTTCACTTTTCCTTCATCCATCTGAAAACTGTTCGTTCCTATTCCTCTTTCCCTCTTTTCATTTTCTTTTCTTGATATTGGAAGTATGTGTTTGATTTCATTGACTCCATTTGTATCGCGTGTGGCGGTGATACAGATTGATGCCAGTTGCATCGTAATTATTCAGAATTTGATTGCATTGTGTGTCTTCATCTGATTTTGAGTTCGTCGGTGGTTGAGTGATAGCGTTGATTACTGTTCAGTGGTGTTTAGGTGCTGCCGGCTGATTCCATAACTCTATGGTCCTGTGATTTCATGGTTCGACTGCTGTAGAGAGTGGTGATTGTAACAATTGAGTGGGTTTATGGTGTCGGCTGAGAACTTTTGTGGTGATTTTTTGATCGACCTGAGGAACAAATCCGAATCATCCGATCGAATTCTGCAATAGTGTCCGGCAACGTTGCTAGCAGAGAGGCGACGTTGGGTTGATTACTTGTGGGCTCAAGTTTGGTTTGTTGGGTCTCATCTTTTTCCTTTTTATTTTCTTTCAGCCACTATTGGCCCTGAGTTGATTATTTGTTGGGCTTGTTTTATTTTTGAAGCCCATTGAGGGTTTAGTTATTGTTGGGATGTTGATGCTGGTTTGTGAGCTCCTTTAGACCCATGAATGTGCATCTACGTTTCTTTCTTGATTTGCAGGTTATAAAAAATAGGTGGAAGATATCGATATTGTTAATTTTTCTGTTAGTCTTCCACCAGAGCTTGAAGCTGTCCATGTGCAAATATTAGGTGAAAAAGAGATTCCCAATCTTGGAGGACGTTCTCTCGTATTTAGCACTCTACTCTCTCATGTAGCAAACCTAGTGAGGTTCGTTCTATCTTTATTACTCAGGGTGGACGTATCGAACTGAGTGAATTGGTGTTAACTCTCGAGGTGGACGACTAACTGAGGCGGTGGTCATTCAGGAAATCATGAGCGTTGAAAGTGTACTCACTATGGTCGTATAGGTCATTTCGTTGACTATTGTTGAGACTTACATGGCAAACTATCTGGTTCTATCAATCTGGTCTCGTCTAATGAAGACGATCACCCATTATTTGGAACAATGACTAACTCTAGTTCAACACAAAATTATAATTTTTTGGGGTCCTTTGAGATGAGCATTCTATGTTCTTAGCATCACACAACCAGATATTTCTTATACAGTTAACATCATTAGTCAGTTCTTGAATACTCCTCGTGTTTTTCATTTAGAATTTGTGATACGTATTATTCGATATTTGAAAAAAGTTTCAGGTCTTGGATTATTATACAAAACCAAATGGACATATTGGGCAGATGTCAAGTGTAGAAGAAATTATAGATGCATATTGGACAGATTTACCGTCGAATAGACGATCCACTATTGGTTTCTGCACTTTTCTTAGTGGTGATCTTGTCTAGTGAAAAAGTAAGAAACAAATTATAATAGCAATGTCAAGTGTAGAAGCAAAATATAGGGCAATGGCTCATACTACTAGTGAGTTGACGTGATTACATCACTTCCTTAAAGAAATCAATCTCTCATCTTCTATCCCTACTTTGATGTCCAGTGATAATCAGGCTACTCTATACATTGTATCCAATACAATCTTTCATGAAAGGACCAAGCATATTGAAATTGATTGTCACTTTGTTCGGGACAAAATAGTAAGTGGTGATATATGTACACCATTTGTAAAGATAGAAGACCAACTTGTTAATATATTTACAAAGTCATTGAATAGTAATGGGTTGAGGTTTCTTTATTTTAAATTGGATATGCTCGAACTTCGAGGGAGTGTTAAAGAAGTAAATCGCCCAGATTAGGCAAGAGTACATTAGAGTTTATTGTGTTTCCATTCTTGTCCTAAGTTACTATACATGTGCTCTTGTTGTTCTTATATAACTACACTAGAGGAGAGGAAGATATTTATCTTCTTCCCTTGAAAGTTTATACCAAAACTTTTTGTTTTTTAACAGATCTTTTAAATTAAATATATTGTCATAATTTAGCAATTTCCACTAGTTAGAAGGATGATAGGTAACAAATGTGACGAAATGGAAAATTTTGAAGCTAAACTGAAGATATTGACCCAATAGAAATTTGATGAGAGTACAAATATTTTTTATTCACATTTCAACCCGATTGACAACAAGAAGACTCACAAATATAAAATATTCACAGAACAAATTGACATTTGTAGATATTTGTTTGTTCCATAACAATACACCATTAGGATAGGTAGCATTATTGCCATTTTTACTTTATCATATTCATGAAGGACATAATTTCTACCGTAAACATTTACAGATAGTTATGTAATGAGTTATATTAATAATAAGAAAAAGAAAATTGGTTGCCATTAAAAGTTAAAAACTTCTCCAATTTTGCATCCTGGAGTACCTTCAAGATTATTCATGTTCACATAGACACATTGCCTATTGATTATATAGCCACACAAACTTACAGAATGAATTATACATTTCAAGTTACATTTATCATGCAGAAAGTGATCACTGCGTAAGGATGCACCTTGTGGGTGATCCGTCAGCCCCAGGGATCCTTAAAGGCGCGCAGTGAAGCATGTATTCTCCTGGACTAACATCATTAAGCACCAAGCCCTCCACGGGAATCAAATCCTATAGCAATCAAACAAATTTACTTTTTGCAGGGAATAGAAAGACGCATCACAAACTTATAATCTGTAAAATCAACTAGAAGAGATCGATACACTGCCTATGTACCATTTCTGAAAATGGAATAAGGGAATGATTCACAAATTAGAGCTACACATGCCAACAGAGCAGTGAGAGTGGTTTGATTAACTGAAACCATGAAGGTTAAAACTCATGCAGCATCAGTTTCTTTTAGGCTCCGTTTGATTGCACGAAATTTTCCATAGAACTTGGAATTCGAATTCCAACTTCCACTTTTGACCTGTTTGATTGACAAAATTTTCCAGGGAATTGATTTTCCATGAATTTCTAGGTACAACACCTTAAAGCGTGATTTTCCGCCTTTTTTTTTCCTAGGGGATAGGTGGTTTTTGGTTTTCCACCTTTTTTTATTTTTATTTTTTTTGCTTTTTTTTATTTTTTTTTTTAATTGTTGGCAATGGGAACAAATTTTAGGAATAATTGTAAAAGAGGATATCCCTGAAATTGACAATTTCCACGTAAAACAAAGTCAAACGAACATCAAAAAATACTTTTACTTCAACATTTTCCACGTGAAAAATTTATACAATCAAACACAATAATTTACAATTTCCATGAAAACAATTTCTAGGTAATTCAATTCCCTAGAATTCATTTTCTTTCCACCTAAATTCCATCTTCGCAATCAAACAGACCCTTAGTGTTCCTTTTCCCCTTTTTATAAGAGGGGGACGAGTGAAGATATGGGAATATTCCATAAAATCGAAGTATTCAAGAAGATATAAATCTTACCCCCCTTTTCAGCAAAACCTCATGAACCTGCTTTGTTTCTTCCATTACAGAAACAGACAGATAATCCATTCCTACAATTAAGAAGCAAACACATACAACAACATAAATGATTCATATAATTAGTGAGGTGTGCCCCATGCTTCCAAACTTGTGCCTCGCCATCCAATACAGAAGTAGAGAAAATAGTATTTATCTTACCAATAAGTTTGATATCAGTATTTTCCACCAACCACTCTGCCCCATCAGTGTTGAGTGCAACATAGTCACGGGCGAAAGCAGGTTGAAGCATCAGACTCCTGAAATGAAACCAACTTACATCACATGAAATGTGCTCTGAAAGAGCAAATCTCAGCATGTTTTGGCAATTCGGATAAGGATTCATGTTCAAATATGAGAATTTTGATCAAGAAAGGAAACAAAAAAGGTCCGCACATCTTGTTAGTCAACCACAAAAGTGACACCTGCCATTGACCTCTTCCATTTCGTGCATGTTGACAACTCTAACCACAAAAGGATACAAGTTACAATGTAAAATTGTGTATGTAGCATAATACGTAGTACGTACGCACGTGTTCCTCTTTTTCTCCTAAATATAGCAGGTTAAGAATTGATGAGTGAAAAGTAACACAAAAATAATTTATTTTTTCTATCACTGTCTGCAATATCCAATAGTTAATCAACGACCACTGAAATAAAACATGCATCATGATATATCAGTTTTTGAGACAGACACAGATCATCTCAAATTAATCAATCTGAGAACCAGGCGTCAAAAAGGATAAAATAAACATGCTGATGCCGACACCATAATTCAGTCATACTCTAGAAGGTGCGGTGGCTACCATATGCAAAGGGCTTTGAACAGCCTAAGCCATAATTCGCACCTAGACAAAAAAGTCAATGGAAAACGCATTCTAACCAGACATTAGATCAGTCAAATGCTAAAGTTAAGCATGATGATTTATTTTTACCTGTGTGTGTTCTCTGTCCTGAAAAGCAGGCGTTTGACTCCTTTAGGGATGTTCATGGACTTCAGAACTTCAGCTGAAATAAGCAAGAAGCGCGAATAGTTTCCTCTAAGAACAGAGAACATAATGTCTTGAGAAAAATTAAGAAAATCATAAAACTGCCTCTTTGTGTGACAAGCGCACTATGAATTAATCAGTATATTCACACGTGAGCCAATGTACCAGTTAAGTCCTTGTTCCTAGGAGCATCCATCACCAACGCCAGACCTGTTTATACATATTAAAGTATAATCAACAATTTCAGTAAGTAACAAGGTATATTTTGATCTTTCACTTTGATAAGTTAATCAAATTCTCCAGTGGCGAAATGTTACCGTTGAGAGTTTCGAGATTAAGTGAGTTGGCATCGTAGGACGACATGTTCGAAAATACATGACAAGAGGCATCGGAGTGAGTCCCCATGTGAGTGGAGAATTTGTACACCGATTCGCCATTTGTATCGATGAATCGCAACTTCTCTTCTGGCATGCCTTTATCACCGTCCCAAGTTGTCATGCCAACGGCAATCTTGCTGGTGATGTCGTAGATTTTGGTGTAGCCGTACGTTCCACTTTGGGCGAGATTAATGACCTCTCCCAATACTGCAGCGGCGGGGGTGAGGAGGAGGAGTGCGACGCACTGCACCACCCACCGCAACAACCGCATCGCGCTGGAACTTTTCCCCATCGTTTCTCGATTGGTTTCGTTTCCCAGTACCCTGGGAAAAGGATAAAGTTAAAAAAGTGGAAGACAACGAGGAGTGGAAAGGGGAAGGGAGACATGAGTGGTTATTAAAGGGGAAAGCTGGATGCTCCGAGAATTATGTCGGACTCTTGAACTCCGGTATTAATCGGAGGTCCGGAGAAAATGCGATTCCGGCGGAGGAGGAGAGGGATGAGAAGATGACACGTGGTTTAGTGCTTTCTTTCTTTTTGGATCAGCTAAACTCGGGCTAGCCCAAATTAGTTTGACATAAAGCCCATTCAATTGGAAGCTTATATTGGGCCCACACTAGGAATTCTTAAGTGTGTATAAATCTAATAACCTGCTTCGATATTTTCCGTTCTCAACAAACCATAAACCCTAATGCAATTGTCTTAATAAAAGTTTTCATATTAGTTCGACATACAGTTCCTGATATAAAAAAAAAGTTAAATCTAAGGACTGTCTGGAAGTTCAGCAATGGGGAAGACTAGGTCGCGGTATGTTTCACTCAACAATTCTTTCGTGTGCGAATATATTTCTCGTATTTAATTTAGTTTTACGTGTTCTTAGTTCCATATCAGATGGAGATCTAAAGACTCGTGCAGATCGCAAGTTCGACAAAAAAGTCCAATTTTATGAAAGTAAGACGGCACTTGTCTATTATTTCATTGAGCTAATTGGTATAATTTTTTCCGCGTAAATAACAAAAAATCAATTTCGTACTTTTACGTGTTTGGTTCCTGAATCCTAGACTTTCGAAGTGTATACGTGATTTCCAATGCTTTTTGTGCATTAATGTAAAATAAGAAAAATGTAGAGTTTTTAATTTGTTTCTTTTTTTGGTAAAATGATGTTCAGCTTTAAATCTAAAATTCTTTGTGGATTATTGCTTTTTGTAGCTATCAGAAATGCTGTTGCTCAAAAATCTATTACTAAGGTATGAATCTTTTACTTGTTATCACTTATCCGTACAAACGATGTAATGCCCTCATTTTTAAATATGAGTTCTTGTGGTTGGCTCAGAAAATTTTATGCCTCTTTAGATAATAAGTTTTGAATCAGATCTTGAATATGAGGAAAATATGAGAAATTGATAGCTTGGTGCCCACGATGATTTAGTCATTATTTGAGAATACATATATTACAATTGAGGTTTACTTCGGATGCGGTGCTTATAA